GTTAAAAATGTGTAATTTTAAGGAATAAATCAACATTTTTAATTTTAACACCAAACAAAGAAAACAAAAAAATTTTTTTTAGTTACCGATACCACGTTAAAGCTGATATTTTGAGCTTTAAAATGCTTTTTTTTTGTTTGTTCTACGATGATTTTTCATTGAGTTACGTCATTTTTTCAAAAATACAGGTTTTGCTTCAAAGTCATGTAAATCGGTCAAAAAAAATCGTAGGAAAATTTTAAAAAAAGCATTTTGTAGGTAAAATTATGTAGTTTATGAAACGTTAATTGAATTTTTTGAAAAAAAATTTTTTAATTGAGTTTCAAGTAGTCAAACATAAGTTAATTTTAAGGAACTAAACAATGTGTTCTTTTTTAAAACGTACAACAAAGAAAATAAAAAAATTTTAAAAATCTACCAAAAGTGCGTTAAAGTTGAAACTTCAAGCTTCAAAATGCTTTTTTAAATTTTTTTTTACGATAATTTTTCGCCGACTTACAGCAGTTTGAAAATAGCCTAATTTTTAGGGTTTATGAAGTGTTCCCTATTTTTTTTTGTACGAGTGTATATACGCATCGTCAATCGCGTTGAACTCTCAAAGTTTCTTTTTACTTGCCACTTAATTACATTATCGAGAATACCGTGTTACTAGTATCCAATTACATTATTAGTACATTACAAAAAATTCGTGTTTCTATAGTTACAATACAAACTGATCAATGATCACGATACGAAATAAGAAGTAATTATCTCAATCTTTGGTCTTTTTCATACCGTCTTTTTTTATCGAAATCAGATCAGGAGATGATAACAAACTTTTCTTTGTCATATACAAAAATTTTTTATATAAAAATATTGCAATAGTGACTAAATAAAGAAACAGCGTAAAAATGTTAAAATAACGATTAGATTGATATTTATTAGAATGGCAATTGGCATATATACAGAGTGCGGATAATAAATGTAACATCCGTAGAGAGTAAGTAGAGTGTATTAAACTGAATAGAAAAATCTTGTACCGTTTTGCGATGATGACAATAAATAATGAGTTATTAATTAATAAAAATCTGCGAATCAGCGCGTGTTTGCACGATTCGGCAAGAAGAGACAACTCAAAGGTAACGGTTGTTACACGCACAGCGAGGAATTTAGAAGGAGCGCTGTGTACATAATAATAACGGCTATACATGAGCGACATTCGTGCATAGCCATTTAATTTCATTTCTTACTCATTGTCAGTAAAAAATTTTGTGTTAAATTTAACACATTTTACATGTCCCAATTTATCCAGTCTAATTTTTATGTTAATTTAACAGAAGGCAAATATGTAAATAAATATCACAAATAATATGTAAAAAATTAACACAAAAATTTAACACATGGACTGTTTGCACAAGTTCGCGCACAAGCCTGAACTCTAGATTCAGATGAGGAAGGAACAAATAATAAAGAATCCGGTTATTGAGAGAGAGATTGCATTTAATAATTTAAGTACTTTGAAATGACTCGAATGGGCAGAACTAGACAAAGAATACCAACATTCGTTGCATAGGAGAAGGGAAACTGCCCGAAAACCTTCCCAGTATTCGCGTGAAAAAATTATTACATAGATTATATAATATATAATGAAAAATACAATAAATGCATAAAACACACAAAAGAAACAAATCAATAATTATTATAGTACAGTCCTTTCCTTGTATTGATGCCAAAATAAAAAGTTGAATTCACTGATGCTTTTCTTTGTTATGTAATCAGGTTAATCATAAAGGAAATATTTATAGTATGTAATCTCATAGTTTCTATTGACGTAGTCAAAATAAAAAAGATCACTTAATATTAAGAAAGGACTGTTCAATAAGTAAAGCACATCAATCAGAATATAAATTTCAGTTCGAACATCATTGAAATAGTTACTGAATTAATGTATCAATCTTTGAATTCTTAATAATAATTACTTTTCATTGGCCTTTTACAATGTACCATATATAAACAATTTGTTCTATGACAAATAACTCATTTTCAGCAAAATCATGTATTAAATCCAAAAGAATAAACCATCAGAATTTCTCATATTCTAATATGTATAGACCTTCAGTTTTTTGTGATTGACACGTTAATTCACATTAGCATAAACGGAATATTTGATCATTCAGAGTTCGCAAAATACTTAGTAGAATAATTATCAAGTTCATGAGAAAGAATTCGCAAAATACTTAGTAGAACAATTATCAAATCAATGAGAAATAATTCTTATAGAAACGCACGGAAATGAATAATATGTAGTTTGATAATAACGCAAGAGACGATTTATATGTTTCGCACGGAACGCAGTTTCATTGAATACTTATTCCAAGTGAATGTAAAGAATGTTCGCAAAGTAACATAATACACAATAAGAAAAATTGTCTGATCAACGAGAAAGAAACAATCGCACAAATAAGTAATAAAGTCTTTCTTTTACTTTTCACGAAAATGGTTGTAACCGAACGATTAATAATTTACTTTACTTTAGACTGAGCTCAGTATTCTAATTTGACTCGAAATGAATTGTGCACAAACCTAAAATAAGAGAAGATGTTTTCCTCTCAACACGCGAGACTAACAAGGATAACCCTCAGATGAACTTAGGATCCTTTGATCAGGATTCCTATCGTGACGCTAGACAAAATTCTAACGTCTCTCCTCAGAATTGTGAAATGATTGGTTACCTTGTGAGAAAATCAGGTGAATAATTAGAGCTAGTCTTACAGAACACGCCACAGATGACTTTCCTCTCGATGTATAAGTAGCTGCTCGTATTCAGCTTGAGCAGGATTCCTCGAACGTTTCAGAAAATGGCTTCCTTCCTTCCTTCCTTCCTTCGTTCCACGTGCCGGCATGGCTCGCCGGGACGGATATCCCTGGATTCCTCTCGGTGATGATCGCAGTTTAACGTATCTTTCGTTGATTAAGATATTCGAAGTAATTAATCTATTACGAAACACGTAGAGGCAGATCACAACTTAACGACTCGATACTCAAAGGATGACGCAATTATATATCGAACTTAGCTACGATGCACGATGTATCTTGCACGAGATCTGGGTAACGAATGCTCGCTCGGCCGGGCTGCGCGCCCCTCCTAACATGCTCAAGCATGCGCGGTAAACACGTGCCTCGCCGCCTGGAACGCAACGTTGTCGGCGCCGCTCGCGCGCTTTTTCCGAGAACTACGTAGAATGCGCGGCAACCTATTGTATTACAACCGCCACAGATGGCCGCAAAAAGAATAACACAATCTCTCTCTCTTTCTCTCTCTCTCTCTCTCTCAACTTCAAATATGGACGCTATTTGTAAGCAAAGTTTATGTTAAATTAACACATTTATAATGTTAAATTTAATTAAAATAAAATGTTATTCTTACATTAAATGTTATGCTTTTTTCTCTTTTTCTTGCAAAAAATAGACAATGATATTTCTATCTAATATATAATTATATAACATAAGAAGTCTCGATTTAACAGGTGAAAACTCTTATATAGAGAGGAAAGTATATATATATATATATATATATACTTTCCTCTGAATATATATATATTAGGTTGGGAAAAAAGTAATCCATTATTTTTTCGTTTATTTCAAGGCTTTATTTAACATAGTTAGGATTGTTCGATTTGGGTCAATATACACCGTTTTGTTCTACAATTTGTTGCCATTTCAAAGGTAATTTCATGATGCCTCTCTCATAGAACCCCTGGTCCCTACCTGTGCGAGGTGCATCTTTAACATCGAAATTACCGGAACGGAATCGACGAAACCAAAATTGCGCGCGATTGGCTGTGACAGTATCGGGACCGTAAAGGCGTAAACACCATTCACAATTTCAGCCGCCTGGCTTGCATTTTCGCTTTTATTGAAGCAAAATTGTAAAAATACCGAATTTTTTCTTTGCTGACGTCCATCTTTTACGCGCTATAACTCACAACTGAATCGACCAATCACAAAAAAGTTATAGGTTATCCTATACTAGAGATTCTCAAGTAAAGTTACTTGAGGATCTCTAACCTATGCGATTAATACATCACGTGATATATATCACTAAAGCCATCTACCGAAAAAATAATAGATTACTTTTTCCCTAATATATATATAACACAACTTAATTGGATGTTTATTTTAACATATATAAAATATATCACCAAGAATTTGTGCATTTACATATAAATTGTGTTATTTTAACTCTTAGAAACGTTAAATATTAATTTAAAGAAAAGTCAAAATAACACAATGACAAAATAATACGTTAACCAGTGTATGTTAAAAATTTAACACACAAAATTCTCTACACGGATAGAAATTCACTCAAATACAAAATGTTTTTTACTATTAGTTTATTAGTAAAAAAGGATAAAGAATTTTACTTTATATACCCCAAGGGGCCTTAAAGGGCGTTTTGAAGGGACGTACCCAACCCTAACCTCTAATTCATCCACTACCTTACTGTTTCCTCCTTTGGACCAACGGTTTAACGTCTCTTCCGAAAGACGGAGCCCAGTTTTCTTTGCATCTGCACGGAGGGGCGCGGTTTTTTCGGAAAAAAACTTTTCCATGATTCATGGTTCTAGTGGACTCGAACCTGGTTCCTCAGATTACGAGTCTGGCGCTCTACCATGTAGTAAAATGCCCAATACTTGGACAGATTTTTTGAAAAAAAATTTCACCTTGTTATTTCAAAGCCAAAATATCGTTAATTTAATATTTTTTCGATTCCCACATATAATTTGCATATTTAAGAGACAATTTAAAAAAAAAAAAGTTTAAATAAAGCTTTTAAACATTAATTAAACTTGATTTTAAAACGTGGTTATATACTGTAGTAGTTGGACAACCATTTATAGTTGACGTAGTACTTGGACACTTTAGAACCCATAAGTTGGACAAATGTTCCAATACTTGGACACATTCGAACCTAATAGTTGTACAATACTTTAATACGGGATATCAATTAGGTAAATGAAGTTGATAATAATGATAAAATAATAGAAATAGAAGTGATAAATGCACATACATTCTAGTATTCATTTCTTTTTTAAATTTTATTATTTTAGTACAAAAATAATGCACTTAAGAACAATAAAGAAGTTACGTTACATTAATAAAAATAACATTTCATACAGTGGAATCACATTTTTCTTTTTTCATTTTAATTTTTTTGTAAAAACTCCATTTCCTCTAGAATTAATGAATTTTCCAATTCAGCTAATTCGGCATTCACTTTCTGGAGCCGCTCTGTTAAGGGACCAACATTTTCTTTGCTGTTTTCCGATTTGATTGTCTTCTTCAAATTCTGTATTTGTAATTTAAGTTCTTTCTTCTTTTGTATTTTTTTCTTCTTATTTTCATTATATTGCTTCACAATAGTTGTTTCTTTGTCTCTTATTGTTTTTGCCTTTTCCCTTTCTTGTTTGTTCAATAAAATTTGTTGCCCTTTTTCTTTTTTTTCTGCTTCTTTCTGTTGCATCGCTATCAACAGGTCGTCAACAACAGCCACAGTTGGGGTATTTTTAGAAGTACTTTTTTTTCTCTTCTTCGTAAACGTAGGTACAGGGAAAAATTCTTGTAGCTTAGGTGATATTTGTATATCATTTTTACTTCCACCTGAAATGAGAAAAAAAAAGTAATTAAATGCAATTTTCGATTAAAAAATTGAAAATGCTTTAAAAATACTCACAAGTACTTGAGTTAGATTCTTCGTCGATGCTTAGGTGACTGTTATTGTCATTTATGACATTTATAGAATTGTGTTTGCTTAATACAGAAGTTCCAAACACAGGACTAGTTTTTTCTAAGGTATCAGTCTGTACAGGAGCTTTAACAGAATCATGAGAGTCTTCTTGCTCTGTATTTACAGTATTCTCAGACTCATTGGTACCTTCGGAAGTTATCGTGAAATCCAGAACGTCATCTATAAATAAGAAAGTTTTTATTAGAAAATAATTATGTATACAATATATCTTTTTACAAAAATAAATTTTTACAAACCTTTGTTTGATATATTCAAACAATGAGAACTACTTGATTCTCTATTCAAGTCACTATTAAACTCTTCACTGTCAGTCTTATCCAAGTCATCTTTATTTTTTTCTTCCGGTACAAGTTGACTGTCAACTAGAAAGAGATATTTACTTAGTATACTTATAATTTATTATATAATAATTATTATTATTATTATTATATAATTTATTATAAACAAAATTGAACAGACCTCTGGTATCTGCGTTACTTGGGGAGCTGTCGTTGCTCATAGTCACATCATCATTTATTGCTATAACTGTGGCTGTTACACGATTGCCCAGTTCATCGTACAACTCAATTAACTCTGCTACTGGCAATTCTGCTAGAGTATTTTGTTCGATGCTTGGAGTTATAGCATAACTCATGTCCAATGAGTTTTCATCCGCTACGTTGATAACAGACAAGTCCAGCTGGTTGTCGGAATGACTTGAAGCATCAAGCATGATTTCATCAGTTGCTCCGGATGCGTTATTAGTTGCCATACCAATCAAATCAGCATTTGGTATTGGTTGATCAGCTGGTAATGAATTTTCAACTGTTAGAGCTTCATTTGAAGGTACATCATGCATTTCTATACAAATAGAAAATCAAATTAGATGCTGTATATATACATATAGATAATTAAAAAAGCTTACTCACCACTACATAGTTTTTTCAGCTTAAGCCAAGATTCATATAATGCCAGATATTTTACATCACCATTCCATTTGTTTTCTGATTCAGCTTGTTTGAAAGACTCTACGATATCCGGAGAAATAACATTTTTTTCAAACATAGCTAAAAGTTCTGTATTCTTTATGATACTGTCTTGATCTGAATTGTTGGTTGAATGTAGATTAATGCTTGCGTCTTTCTTCTTACTCTTCTTGCTTAAAACATTATAGTTAACTGCATCAGCGTTGAATGGATATAAGCCACAGGCTCTAAAACCATTTTTAACAGCGTCAGTGAGATCATACGATTCCAAGGCCATTTTTAAAACTGGAGCAAACATATGTTTCTTAACATCAACAACATTATTGTCGATTCTCCATTGACGTAACACTTTTCTATAAGAATCCTTCAGTGGATGGAAGACAGCAACATCTAATGGTTGTATGATGTGTGTGGCATTTGGATAGAGCACTACTAGTTCTATAAGATGCTCTTTGCAGAACTTAAGTAGTGGTAGCGTCATATGTGAGCTATGTCCGTCTACATATAAGATGATAGGAAACACGTAATTGTTCTCTTGTAGCCATTTGTAAAATACATTACTTATATAACTGTAAAAGCTTTCACCTGTCATCCAGCCACGTTCCGTGTTTCCTACTCCCCAGCCTCTTGGTATTTGGTCCAAAACATTCTTCTTTGGCGACGTTTTCAGATCAAATAAAATCATGGGAGGTGGCATTACTCCAGAAGCAGCAACAGTAAATAATATTGTTAAACTGGCTTTCTCGTTACCGGACACTATTTGATATGGAGCCTTAACACCTTTCTCTGTTATCACTTTGTTGTCCTTAGGAACAAGCATAAACGCAGACTCGTCCAAGTTGAATACTCGGTGTGGTTCTATATGCAGCAAGTTTTTTGTGTCAAGGTATTGTTTGACTTTTGCAAACCAGTTTCGAAGGTCTACTTCAGTGACGGCTGCTCTGGTAGAAGTCAGATTTTGTGCTATTCTGGTACTCAGATTTGGATGTCTGTTCATAAAAGCTCGATACCAGTGTTGTCCAGGACGATTGTTCTTGAAAGGAGTCTTAGCTTTGTTATTATTGAAATATTTTTGTACGCAGTCAAGGAGTCTTGTTTTATTCACAGGAAAACCACTATCTGCACAGAAAACTATCCAACTTGCAATTTCATTTTCTTCTTCCGCACTCAAGACAGTTTTTGGTCCCTTCCTACACTCAAGTGGTGAGTTATACTTTAATTTAAAAAAAAGAGTACTCTTTGGTACTCCAAAACTGTGAGCAGCTTGGCGGAGAGTCAGCCCTTCGCTCGTTGCATTGAGAGCAGCTTGAAGAGTTTCAACACTGTAATTTTTTTCACTTCTCTTCTTTTTAGCTACAGCTCTATGATACTGACCACTTGCACTCTTCTTCTTCTTCTTAGCAGTCTCTTTTACAGTTTTCTCATTAATTTTCTTCCTAGCCATCCTGACTACCAAATGCTTGCCAAGTCAAGTTCTGGATTTTGAGGTTATTTGGTACGAAGGTGCGAAATTTTTTTTCTTGATGTTTTTTTTCAGTCCGTAAGTAAATATTAAATATTCCACAACACTAATAGTTATTAGAAAACACTTTTTGTAAACATTTTTTACTAAAAATTGTACAAACAAAATCCCGGAGAAACGTGTCCAAATACTGCATTGATATATCAGTGCCTATGATCTGAAGTTGGACACGAGCGTTGCGTGTGTCCAACTACTACTACTTATCGAACGTATACTTGGACAGCTAATTTCCAAAGAAATAATTATTTTTGTAATATTATTATATTGGAAACATTGTTTAATAATATAAAAACTATCAGATAATATCACAACTTATATATATAAATGCATCGGACTTATTGTAACAGTATAAACACAATTAACAAAAATGTAAAAATACAAGAAAAATTATGTCGCTCTTATGGGGCTTAAGGTGAAATTTCAAATTGATCATTTTTATTCAATTTTTTGAAATAAGTATTAATAAAAATTATATGTTATTCAAAAAAGTGTTCGCAATACTATTCTATTTTATTTTTCAATTGAATATTTTTTATTAAAGTAGGTTTTTGAGTGTCCAATTATAGGTCTAAAATTTCATTTTGTCCAAGTATTGGGCATTTTACCTTACTAGACCACACCGCCGCCCCCTATTAGTTTATTAGTATTTTTAGTATTTTTTATTATAGTTTTGTTTATTATATAGTTTTGTTTATTATAGTTTCATTATTTACCTCCATTTTGTACGGTTAACACGCTTTTGCATATTTTATTTTTTAATGGTAAATTAACCTTTGGATATATCACAAATATTTATATAAAATATTAATGATTCATCCATCAATTATCTTTATCTGTACAGTTTTATCTTGCGTCAATATAAACACTTGTATCATAAAATCAAGAATTAAATATTTTGCTTTCTTCATCCTTTGTCTTGTTTTTTATTTTACCTGAAAATTAAATCAAAAGGTGAATATTTACCCTTACGACCCCCCCCCCCCATTAACTTTCTCTTTTATATATATTATAGACACATATATCATCCTCCCGAGTAACCTTTAGAAGGTTTTAGCCGTCGCTCGTTGTTTATTAAAAAGTTATAAACAAAAGAAATTTGAAAAATATGATCTAATTTAATTCATTATTACGTATAAGAAACCTTCATATGATATATTTATAGCTTCAATATATAAACTCGTTTAAAAAAAAAATACTTCTTACTATTACGATGTTTACATATAAACCTTCATAAAGGTCATCATATTCGTACATCAATCGTCAGGAAATGAAAATATTTAGTATATCGAGAAACTCGAAACGATTAACATGTTGCTCCACGAATTTCTACATTTGACATACAATCAGGGGATCAATTATTAAGATATATATATTTTTTAATCTACATTTTATGCACCCACATTTCAGAAACGCGGTTTTTTTTTAGCTTTAGCCGTCATTCGTTATTTATTAAAAAATTATTGACAAAAAAGTTTAAGAAATTAACACTTTGTATTATTGCTTAGGAAAGTAATTTGCTGATATGTGTGCATAAACAGTTCAGTCAGTACATATGTGAGCGGAAGAGGGGCTATCGCCCTAAGCACTAATACAAAGTGTTATATTTCGCAGTTATATTTGTTCATAATTTTATAATAAACAACGAGCGTCGACTAAAACCTTCTGAAGGTTACTTAGGAGGATGATCTCTATAATATATGTAAAGGAGAAAGTCATTGGAAGAGGGTTCGTAAGGGTAAATATTTACCCTACAAATTAGAAATTCTTTTTCTTCTTATAAAATACTAAGTTATTGTTTAGTAACACATACAGCGCATAAAATGTTTTTCTGTAACAATATTCCTTTTATTTCTAAAATTTCAAAGTGTAATTAAGAAGATATAAACTTTTCTTACGCTAAATGTGTCCCATTATTAATTTCAACAGTGTAATGCATGCATATTTTTCTTTGGTATTACATTTAGCCAAAAACCTTCTTCAGGCGTCAGATTTAAGCCGTCTTTGCCGATCTTCAGCGGTAACGGCGTCTTTTCGCATGTAGTTCGCAACGTGCAAGCAGATAAACTAAAAAAACTTTCGTTTCCAATAATGCAAATCTGTTACCTATGCACATTCTCGGACCCAAACCGAAGGGAAGAAAAGCTCTGCAGTTAAGACTATGTTTCTTCCGCTCACCAAGAAACTGCCCGGGATCAAACTTTTCTGGCTTATCGAAGTATTTAGGATCATGATGAAGTCCATAAATCGGTATCCATATTTATTGTCCTTTTTTTATAGTAAGGAGCTTCATTTCTGGCAATGTCAGAAGTAATTCAAAATCTTTCACACATAATCTATCCAACGCTAAGCTTGGATACATTTTTAGAGCCTCATTGATTATTGCATCCAAATATTCCATACTATTGACCGCTTCGTAAGGTGCTTGTCCGTTATTATTTTCTAAAACCTTGTCGATCTCATTTTGAAGTCGTTCTTGTACAATACATTCTGATTTACTGCGATTTCGTGAGCGGCAAAACACATTAACGTCGAGCTGCTGTCGAAGCCTCCAAAAAAGAAAGTAAATGCTTGTGCCACCATATCGTCGATCAATCGAGTCAAATCCATCCTGCCATCTTTACCCTTACTCTCCGTCATCAGCTGTATCATGTCTGGTCGAACGATACCTTTTTCTTCTCTAGTTTTTATGTTGGTTTCTACGAGATATCTCGAAAAAAAATTCGCTATCTTCTTACGAAGAAATATCAATTTAAATATTTGTGCCAGCCAAGGTAATGTTCTAAATATGTAGAACTTTAAAAGAACAACGCCGCTGAATAGGGTCACCTCTTTGCCATATACATAAAATTCATTCTTCGGATTTCTCATATGAGAAATGCTATGGACATAGTAATTTTACACAAGACTATAGCATTTAAACTTGGGCGTCTTGATGGTCCGCAGTTGGTGCGGCAGCATAATAAAATTTAACATAAAATTTTCTCCGTGTAGAATCTACACTGACGCCAAAAGCGCAAGTAGCGATTACGTCATTTGTATATCTCGTGAAGACGTCTTTCATTTCCATCATTCTTTTCTCTGGTGACAATTGCGCTAAGTAATCGCTAAAGTCGATGCTGTAATCCGACATCAGGTTGAACATATTTTTCATCTTACTGGATGTGAAGGCTGGACACAATATAGATCGTACTTCCCGTCACTTCTCACCGCGAAGGGCAACGAGATTTCTACCGAAAAATGAATCTTGAGTTTCGTCGACGAAACGACGATGATCCATAAACATGTAGAAATGTTTTAATGTGATAGCTTTAATAAGCTCGGGATCGCGAAGCACTATGAGTGGTTGAGTCAAATCATACATACCGACGTATTTGGCATCAGGATGTAAATTATACGTCGACTTTACAAGATCAGCAATGGATTTCCGACGGAGTAGTGTCGGTCCCATGTTTCCCAGTAACGGTAAAGGTTTTGCACATGGTATTCCATGTTTTTTGAAAAAATTTAAATCCTTGTAGAGAATGTAATACAGACCTAGAATAGCCGTTATCACCGACAAAATAATTACATACATCATGCTGATAAATGTATACGCGATTGAACTAAATTTGTGAAAAAAAGTAAAAACAACACTGTTATTCAAATATTATTAAAATACCGATAAATTCGATCAATATGACACTATACGTCAAGCTATAATGGTCAACTGCTGCTGCGACAACTAATCTTTCTGTTATATGTGTAACGTATTACAAGGAGGGGTCTATTGCGCAGTATGACGTAACGCGTAAAGTAATTTTCAGACAGTGATTCAATGGAACTAAACACTACGTAACATTCAACAAAGGCGTATATTTTACATTATATACATATAGACTCATAGATTTTGTAATAAAATAATGTCCTGTAATTAACTAATCTCTGACTTTTTTTATTCTAACATAATTTTTTCCATATAATATTTTTGTACTTGTATTAATGTATAATTAATTTTTGCTTTTAATTTATAATGTAATTGTTTGCTTAAACTATTTTTAATAACGCTTTTATGTGCATAATACGTCGTTATCTCAATGGAAAAAATTATAAAAATATTTCTTACAAAAATCGCACAGAAATGCAGGCAGTAGAAAAGTATAAGTATAAGTATAATTACTATGATGACAATAATTGTACAGTTATTACGAAGAAAAGTAATTTGCATCACAATACGATCAATAATAAGATTGCAACATGAGAAATGATATTTAATTCATGATATTAACCTCTTTTATGCTCTCTTTTTTGCCTGAAATACGTTTTAAAGATAAAATAATTACCTTTAATAAAAACATTTATAATGCATGTATCATTGTTTGTTAAACTTGCAGCAACATAAACATCTTTTTGCTGGATAATTAAGAAAGAAATGTCCTCTTTTGTGTTCATTTTGGCATCGTTGTTTTCCATTTCATCTGAAATTTAAATGATAATATGTTATATAAAAACATATGATTATATTTTGAGCAAACTTGACTTTTGTAAATGCTATTTCATTTTAATATATAAAAAATTTGCTTTAATATAAAATTTTTTAATTGTAAGATTGTATGTGTATAAATAACATATGTGTATTTTGAGAAACTTAAACAATTTTACGAATTATTTTTCTTTAAATTAATGTTATTTTGGGACGTTATTAATTAAAAAAATAACAGAAATTATTATTTTATATTAAAATGTCTTTTATTTCCAAATAAGAAATCATAAAATTATTAAAATTTTTGTATATTTATTCCACTGACAAGATTAGCTGTAAGAATATAATATAATTTTTCCTTAGGGTAACATCTTTAGCCAGAAACCACCTTCAAATTTCATATTGAAGCATATCTTTACGGTTCACCAAGAAACCGCTCGGGATCATACTTTTCCGGCTTTTCAAAGTATTTAGCATCATGTTCATAAGGCTATAAACCGGTATCCATATGCCTTGTCTTTCCTTTATAGAAAATAGTTTCATCCCTGGTAATGCCGCGGTAGTAGCTCAAAGTCTTTTATGCATAATCTGTCTATTATTATAGGTAGGTATATAATAACCGGATACATTCTGAGAGCTTCGTTAATCACAGCATTTAAATATTCCATGCTATTAATCGTTTCATAAGATGCCCATTTGTTTATCCTAAGACCTCGTCGATATCTTTCGAAGTTTTTCGTATATCTTGGTTAATCCGCAATTTCATGAGCGGCAAAATACATTAACGTCAAAGCTACAAAAGAACAAGGTAAGTATCTGATAAATACCACATCATCAATTCTACCATTCAATCAATTCCGAACCTCTTTGCTTCTGTTTTCCATCATCAATTTGTCAGGACAAACAATACCATTATCATTTTTGGTTTTTATGTATAACTTTATTAAGGAAACAATGTTAAAAGTGATCGCCTCTTTGCCATATACATAGAATTCGTTCTCTGAGTTTCTAATAAAATCAACATTGATACCAAAAACGCAAGTAGCACTCACGTTGTTATAATGTTTTAATGTGATGCATTTAATAAGCTCGCGAATTATTATAAGTGATTTGGTAATATCATGTATTGCAGTGTATTTGGGTTCAGGATGTAGGTTGTAAATATCTTTGACAAGTTCGGCCTGAAGTATAAAGATCGATGCTCCCATATTTCTCAATATAGGAATAGGTGGCCTATGTGATGTACCATATTTAAAACAATTCAAATCCTTGAATAGGAAATAATAAAGGCTTAGAGCACCCGTAATCACCGACAAAGCAAATCTATATAATGTCGTACTGATATATTTATCACAGCTTTATATATTATCCACTAAACTAGTATACACCATATAATTTTGTCGAAATTGAAATCAATTCTTGCACTTCTTTACTTGTTTCTTGAATATGTTTAATTATCGTACTGTCAGTAACAAAGATGATATCACAGTACAACGTTACGCGCGTCGAAAGGCCACGGTCGATCGACTATTGTTGCAGCACAATCTAATATATCTGATTTGTCATTACTTATGTAAGTGAGGTCGACAGGAGTATTTACATTTGCCATTACATTTATCGCATCTATGTTGTTTCACACATGATAAATTTTTATAATCAAAATGATGTACATTGGATTCGCCAGTTACTGTTTATGTAATATTTTTATATACATCTTTTGCCTTTTATTTATTATTATTAATATGTAACGTGATTTATATTAATTGACAGCAATTTAATAGGAGAAATTATGAGATTGCATTAGATTGTCTATCCTTGACGGGAGGTACTTTGACCGTGGCTCTCTGACAATAAAGTGGATGAAAGATTTTGTTATGATCAGAATTGCTCTTACATTGTTAAAATGATTTGCAGAATCAGCCGCAGAACATCTCGCAGCACGTATGCTAACCTTCTTTTTATTATTATTGTTTTGTACATATATGTATATTATTATACTGTAACACATATATTGTAACATTGTAATGTAATGTAAAATATATTTGTTTTCTCTACGTTCATGAACTTTAATGTTTTGAATCTCATTGTTTAATTGCATTCCTGTCCTTACTTTGTATTCTTACTTTCTAGAACCGACATGCTTAGTTTGCATTCCCGTAGGATGTTTTCGTTCTCTCTCGGTACGATGCTCAACCAGAAACCACCTTCAATCCGCATTGAAAATCCGCCTTTCTGCAACTTTACAGATGTTGAAGTTTTTTCGTAAGGCTTTAGATGACAACGAGCTAAAAGATGAAATAGTAAAGTCCTCGTTTCCAGTAACGCGAACCTGTTGCCGATGCACATCCTCGGGTCTAATCCAAATGGATAATAAGCGTTAAGGTTACACTGATCGCCTTCATCGAAGAAACTCTCAGTGTTGAACTTATCCGGTTCTGGAAAATACTTAGGGTCGTGTTAAAGCCCATAAAACGGGATCCAAACTATCGTTCCTTCCTTTACAAGATACGGCTTTGCACCTGGCAGTGCTGCGACTAATTCGAAATCTTTCACGCATAATCTGTCCGTCATTGGTTATACCGGATATATTCTGAGAGTCTTATTAACAACAGCACTCAAATACTTTATTTTATTGATCGCCTCATAAGATGGTTGGCCATTCGTATTTTCTACAATCTTGTTGATCTCATTTTGCAGCTTTTCTTGGATTATATCTGGATTGACAGCAATTTTGTGTCCCGCAAAACTCATCAGTGTCGAGCTGGTCTCAAAACCAGCAAAGAAAAAAATAAATACCTGCAATGTTATGTTTAAAATGGTCAGTTCTCTCCCAGGCTCTCTTTTGCTTCTGTTATCCATCAGCAGCTGGATAACGTCTGGACGATAACTGGACGAGTATATAATACCTTTCTCTTCTCTGATTTTTATAGTATCAGCTACTAGATTTACAAAGAATGCATTAGTACGATCATCTATTAACTTAAGGTTTAACAAACGTATGAGCACCGGCATGTGCTGATACATCAGAATTCTTATAAAGGAAATCATGTCGTGTTACTTTTTTGCCGAAAACGTAAAAATTGTTCTCTGGATCTCTCATCGAATCCACATTAATATCGAAGGCACAAGAAGCAATTACATCGTTAGAATACTTAGAGAATGTATCTTTTGTTTCCATAACGCGCTTGTCTGACGGTACATTCATTAAGTACTTTGAAAAATTCATAGCGCACTCGGATATTATTCGAAACATATAACCCTTAATTTGTTAGCTGTAAAAGCGGGACATAGAAGCGCTCTAACGTCATGGCACTTGTCGCCACGAAGAGCGGACAGATTTGTCCCGAAAAGCGGATCTTGATTCTCGGTCCCAAAGAAAAGATGATCGTAAAAGGCATTAAAATTTTTTATAGCGACAGACTTGATTAGTTCTAGATCACGGATTACCACGATTAATCTCGTAAAATCAAAAGCTCCAACGTACTTAGCGTTAAAATGCATATCATATATTTGTTTAATGATATCGGCGAAACTCTTTGGACGCACGAAAATTTTCCAGATATGTTCTAACAAGAAATGTTCTTTTGCATGTGGAATTTCGTATTGCCGAAACTCATTTGAATCTTTACGGGACAAGCAATAATAAATAGCAAATATGCCGGCTAATATTGATAAGGCTATCGTATAGTACTCCATGATAGACGTTTATTTAGAA